TCTGCACCATTTTACATTCCCACCAGCAAGGTGCAAGAGTTACAATTTCTCCACATCCTCATCAACACTTGTTTTCTTTTTCTTTTCAAAATAAAAGACACTCTAATGCATGTGAAGTGGTTTCATGGTGATTTTGATTTGCATTTCCCTAATGATTAGCAATGTCATGTGTGCACTGACCACTTGTATTTCTTCTCTGGAGAAATGTCTGTTCAAGTCCTTTGCCGATTTTTAATTGGGTTGTTCTTTTGTTACTGTTAGCAACTATATTTTAGTCAATTCAAACTAGTAATAATTGGTTCTGCCTGACTTGTTACTAAGACAAAATAAAAATAAATGTTAAAAAATTAAGCCCTTTCTCCTCTGCAGTTCAATAAAATGCTTTTTTTTTTTAAATTGAGCACTTGGATGGAGAAACACTTGTTCCTCAAACCTCTCCTTCCTCCCATGCCTATGATCTGTAATAAGTCAAACTGACCCGGTAGCTTGAGCTGAGGAGATGAGAAAAAAACAAGGCAGCAAAAAAGTGATGGACAGCTGTTCCCGGACCAAGCTGAGGGTTGGGCTGCTTAGCCTTGTGGCCCAATAACGAGATGCAGATGAACTGGGAAAGGAGGAGGTTTTTATTTCTGTAACCAGTTACAGGGAGAAGCCCTGGAAAATATTGCCAGATCAACTCAAAATTACAAAGCTTATATACCTTCTAAGCTATATGTCTACGTGTAAGTGTGCATTCATCTAAAGACATATACAGTGATTAACTTTATTATTTTTGAGAAGGAGTTTTGCTCTTGTTATCCAGGCTGGAGTGCAATGGTGTGATCTCAGCTCACCACAACCTCCATCTCCCAGGTTCAAGCGATTCTCCTCAGCCTCCTGAGTAGCTGGGATTACAGGTGCTTGACACCACGCCTGGCTAAATTGTGTATTTTTAGTAGAGATGGGAATTTCACCATGCTGGCCAGGCTGGTCTCGAACTCCTGACCTCAGGTGATCTACCCGCCTCGGCCTCACAAAGTGCTGGGATTACAGGTGTGAGCCACTGCACCCAGCCAGCTTTTAATATTTAACTTAACCACTCAGTCAGTACTGAAACAGTTGTAATGGAGGCCTGAATTAGTGAGACCCGGACTGCCAACAATCTCAGATCAAATCCTGAGGACAGCTGAGGGAGGAACTTTCCAGATGGTCAGAGATGGGATGGATAAGCCACTCACTTAATTCCCTGTTAAAAGCTGTCTCCTCCATTTGTGATGAATAGTGGCAATCTCAAACTACACAGAATGCCAACACCTAAAAAAAAAGAATCCATCAGGCTGGGTGCAGTGGCTCACACCTGTAATCCCAGCACTTTGGGAGGCCAAGGTGGGCAGATCATGAGGTCAAAAGATAGAGACCATCCTGGCCAACATGGTGAAACCCCATCTCTACTAAAAATACAAAAATTAGCTGGGCGTGGTGGCATGCGCCTGTAGTTCCCGTTACTTGGGAGGCTGAGGCAAAAGAATTGCTTGAACCCGGGAGGCGGAGGTTGTAAGCCGAGATTGCGCCATTGCACTCCAGCCTGGTGACAGAGTGAGACTCCAACTCAAAAAAATAAAAAAATGCAAATGCTAATTTAAAAAAAAGAAAAGAAAAACAATCTGTCAAAGCAGATCGGGCTTCCATCCCTCAGCTACCTCTCTTCTCGGCGTCCTCCTCTCAGGGCTCTCCCCTCAGAGATCCTGTGCCCCTTCTCTTCCCAGAAGGGCAGGGAAATCCCTAGACTTGCACCTCCATAACACCTAGCTCGTGGGGTAGTTTGGATGATTAAATGAGATGTTGCAAGCACAACCCAATACTACCCAGGTAGATCTTAACCTGA